GGGGGGGGGGTGAAGAAGGTAAAATAATCAGTTTTATTTGAAACTAATTACCAGACAGTAAATAAGCTTCTCCATGGATGTTTTTAAAAAGCTTTTTAAAAAACAGATTCACTAGCTTAATAGCCCCGATGAGTTTAAGATAATTCTTTCTATACCCAATACAGGCTAGAGAACCTAAAACAAAATCCTAACAATACATTAAACTGATGTTCTCAAAACAGCTCACCAAAGTATTATTTATGGAAGAGTTCTATCCTGTAACTTGTGCACTAAAATACAAATTATTCATGAGATAGGCAATAGATAGCATCTACAACTCTAGAAACAGTATTGACCCACTTTGAAGAATAATTATATGATATAATATAAAGTTGATAAATATATTAAAATGCTATTAGAATGATTTGAAAGCACTGTTTTAGAAAAGTAACATTTCCCCCAATGTACGGTAGCGAATTGTAATAAGAGCTTCTCTGACCCGAATAAAAACTTTACACATATTTTAACAAAAGAAATCACTGGTAAATGTACTTTATATATTTTACATAGCATTTAACTTAGAGTCTTTGGAAAGCAGAGAAAATTTATTATATTATCATTAATTTATGACAATTCATTTTATCATCTCAGAATGATTAGTTTCCTGAGACAATTTTGTGAAAGTGTCCACGAACTTCTTAGAAATACCATACTATATTATTTAATAAAACATGGTGTATGCATATAACATTCACAGAAATTGTAAAATATAAATAAGACACCATCAATGAGAAAAAGACATGTACCTTCAAAATAGAAATCTTACATAACAAGTTCTAAAAAAATACACAACCTTCTCTTCCTCCCAAGATAAGAGGTACATTAGAAGAGAACAGAGAAATTTTACTAAACTCAAGTACTGTGCTCTCAAAAAAGATGGAAATTTCTACAAACTTGCCCACTAATGCCTACTGATTATAAGCACATATGTAATAGCATAAAACAGATACTATACAAAAAGTGATTTTAGGGGATGTCATAGAACATTGTGAATGTACTAAATGCCACTGATATATACTTTAAAGTGGTTAATTTTATATTATGTGAATTTCAATATTAATTTGTGTATAATACCATTTTATAATATTAACAAACTTTAAATAATTTAAATATATCAAACAATAACTTTTTTAGTTATTCAACATATGGTAAAATTAAAAGAATCCAATACATAAATGTTACATTCCCGTAAATTTTAAATAAATTTATTAATTGAATTTTATATTTACGCTGAGATACATAAAATCTTCCTGTTCTCCACTAACTCTAGCTATATCTATAAACCATAAAAAGATATTCTATTTGACACTCAGAATCAAAATCATAAAAAGCTTGACTAATCTAATTTTCTTTTTTTAATCCAATATGTGTCCTTGAAGATGGATCTTCATGGACCAAAGTGGAAAGAGATTGTTATTTTCAAATCCCATTTTACCAACCATGTGAGTGAAACAAGGACTGCTAATGCCCACAAATCTCTGTTCAACAATTTTTCTTTAGCTTAAATATTCACTTTAAATATAATCAGTTTAAATAAAAAAATCAAAAACAATAAAAGAAAATATTAAGTGAGCAGAGAGACTTTTCAGGAGACAAAGAACAATGCAGAAGAAAAGGCAAAGAAGAAAGAGTCCTAACAGCCCAATCAATGTATCAATAATATAAAAAACAAAAGTAGGGCCTTTATACATGATTCAGAACCCTATGAGCCTAATTCATGTTAGAAAATAATTCAGAATCTATTTTCCATCAAAAATTAAAGCAATGGTATTTAACAATCATCAAACTTCATGAAGGAGAGTGCTTAATGGTATATCTTCACCTCCTAGATGCATTTCTTATGAACACCACAGTTCCACATAACCAAGTTATGATTCTCGCACTGAAAAGATCAAACACTCCCCAACGCCCCATGGTGATGTGAAAGAGACACACTGATTAAAAGTGGAAGAAAAATAAAAAATTAATAGCATGTCCGTAATTACAACTTTTTAAAGTATACTACTACCATGCACATTTCCTATTTGTACAATAATTTAGTTTAAAACCATAAATTATGTCTATATTAGCTCGTTGTCAAATAATTTTTGTTATATAATATATACATTTTTCTTCTGAAAAGACATCACTACCATGTTAAAACAGTGTATGTGTTTCATACATATAATTAGTCATACTTAGTTTTCTAGTACAATAATTGACATATCTATTAAATCTGGAGAACTATAAATATTTAGACTAGTTCATAGCACAAAAATACAGAGACATATAAATATGCTTTTTGTCCCCACAACTTAAAATGGAATTAAATTTTTCCTTTCTATACTTTCCATGCATTCAGCTTATGTATTTTGAAAGCAGTCACTATTATGACACCAGCTAATAAATATTAAAGTATCCATTATCACTACATTTACTCAATTGCTGACGATAATTTCTTACAAGTAGCACGTGAAAGCCACTAGCAGTCACACAGTCCCGACCCAATTGCCCCAAACGGTGCCTGGGGAAGATGGAGCCAAAGCGCCAGCACAAGTGCACCTGAGCCCCTCTGCATGTCAGAGGCCACCTCAGCACGCGTCCAGTCACGTGTGTGAGGGGTGCTTTCAGGGTCGAGGCCATCACAGAATTCATATCATACCTGTGCACCATAGATGTATTTATCCAGCATCCTGCCTCCTATTGTCTGCCCTCCTATGTCCCAAACTTGAAGAGTAACATTCACGTTTCCTAAAATATAAAAAAAATACAAAAATGAGAATACAAAATTCTTAAGTAACAATGTAACAACTGAATCCAGTTTCACAGAACACTAAATCACCATCAGAAACCCTGAGCCTAATTTGCCTTTTATTCTGCAGACTCACGTAGTCAGATATTTGGAACTATGAAGTAATGTTATCAAAAGAAATCATAGTGGAAATTTAGGTTTATAGTTTTACTCCATTTCCAGGGAACCACATTTATAATTACCTTCCAAACAAAGGAAAAGAAAGAAAGCATTAACTCATAAATTTCTTAAACCTTAAAAAAAAATTCTTAAACAGAAAATAGAACAATAAAGCATTTGTACTTGGGGCAAGAAATACACTTTAAAATAAAAATTGAACTTTATACACTAACCTACCCTATTGCATATAATAAATTGTGCTGTTAAGTTCCACACTGTAAAGGTTCTAAAACCCACAGAATGATAAAAGACAACAAAAATAGACCCATACCTTCAACTCAAATGAATGAATTTTTAAAATTTGAATGACAGATATCATATGCAATAATAAACATAATAAAAAATTACATGTTTTCAAATTTAACTTAGAAAATACAAACACATTTGATTACCCTCTTCAGAAGTGAGGTAGGATACACACCCCATGTATCACTAAATGTTATGATGCATTTATACCTGTTCAAAGCATTAATTATATGGCTTCAAAGCTTTCATAAAATAGTGTATCAAACCTTTTTCCACACACAAGCATTGTAAAAACATTCTAAACTACAAAGCAATCTTTAAATTTTTGTTGTTCATTTTGCAAATTATCTGGTTGATAGAAAATTTTATAATAAGCTACTCTCTCTAATCAATACAATTCATGACTTAAAAGAAGACCATGTTCAATATGCTTTTTGTTTAACATTTCAAACTATTTCTCCTAGCAAAATCATGCAGTTTTCTCCAAAGGTAGACAAAATCTCAGTACCTTCAAAATAAGCTCCCTCACCAAAAATGTATCTTCCTGAATGATTTGCAAATCAGGAAAACTCAAAATAAAAACTCAGAAACTAAAAAAATGGTCTCACTTCAAAAATAAAAACAAAAAATTAAAAAGGACTATAAAGATATAAATTTTTATACCAATGTAAAACACTAAAATCAGAGAATGTTAGTCACACTATTCAACTTTGCAAATGAAAGTACGCCACTGGACCAACCAGCCAAGTTTTGCCCTTAACTCTAAGTTTTGTTGGGTCTGCATTACAATCTTTCCATTATTTCGATGTAGGTCTGTTCCATCTGCCAACATGCAGAGGATTTACATGAGGAACTTCCATTAGCATTAATGAGAGCTACTGAAGTTTATCACCCGTCATCATTCCCACATACACACACTTTCAACGCTCACAGAGTAAAGACAGAAACGTTCTTAAAGCTCTATGAATACGAAAACCACAATGTCACAGACTAAGGCTTGTCCAACAACTCGTATAACCGAATTTGTTAAAAATCTAAATTTTCAAGATTCAAAGCTGAAATCATTCCCCTATGATGCTGTCTCAAATTAAGCAGGTAAGGTAGGGCTAGACATAACCAGAATTATATCAAATACTTTCAGACGCCCTTAGGTAAACAGGAAGAACTCCATCCATTTTACTTGGAAAACTCTTTACAATCAATGTTTAACAATATTAATGTTTTTAGAGTAAGATTTTAGGCAGCACTTAATAAAAGGCACCTAATACCATTTTTTTCAAGGATAATAAAACCTATCACTTAACTTCATATTAAGGTATACGAAGCTTTCTTCCTTTAAGATCTGATATTCAGATCCCATCTGAATCAAGTGTTGTGAAACTTCAACTATAACTTTAGGAACATGATCTCCATTACATGTTTTCAAATTCTGATGACAATCATCTGAAGAATCTAAATCATTTATTCAATTGTCTCCATCTAAGTGGTTTATATTTATGTGTTGAGGGTATTTTTTAAATCCATACCTTTCCAAATAAACAGTTTGTTGTGGTTGGCTTGTTTTCTTAACATACATATTCTAGTGCCTCAGAAATAAAAAACGGTTACGCATTACTGATAACTCATTAATATACAATGCTAGCCAAAAAGAAAGTCTTTTACTATCATTATAACCTCAACAAATACTAACTTTATAGTTATTTCATTTATCTAGAAATATATTTTTAATTTCCACATTTGAACTTGAGGCTTATTAACACATAAAAATAAAAATAAAAATAAATGAAATCGCATAAACATGGAATTCAAATCAACATTCACTTAAGTTTTTGCAGCCATAAACATGAAGTCCCCCAGTATATTTTCAAAATGGCATACTTATAAAGCTATGTAAATAACCAATATTTAAATAAACAATATTGTAAAATTTTTAAAAATCAAGAATCTATATAATTTTCTAACTAATAAAAAACATTAAGAAAATTGTCAGCAATCTAATCCCAAATGCAAAATGGTACAAAATTCCTGCTCCTCTGTAAGAAATAACATGTAACTAGGGGAAAAAATAAAATAAAATAAATGAGGTGACAAAATACAGGTAAGTTGCTTTTGGTATGAATCAAAGCCACAAAGAGGATTCAACAGTGACCTTGTAAAAGTACACTTGGTGCCTTGGTTAACCTTACTTAAAGTGCTGCATAGTCAAGATGGAACTAAAAACACAAGTCTGCCCACTTCTTGTACTAAAGACTTAGAAATCCTTTTCACAGTAGAACGCTGTTTACTGGACTGTACCCACAAGCTTCCTGAAAGTATTTTGACTAAGGCTCTTAAGAAGCTCTATCAGCAGAATCTCTGACTAACAGATACACTATTTTAAGCAGTAAAATCTGCACAGTGGTTGCATCCAGACTATACAGCATACCGGATCATGAAATACACTAAAATGGATGAGTATTTGCAAAGTAATGACCTTGAAAACATGCATGAAGAGAATGTGAGTAGATGGGCAGGAGGTATTACACCACTAACAATCTGAATGGATATGAGTTACTGGAATACTAACAAATATTAGATTTGATTACTATGCTGCTCTACTATAAATCCAATAATGCTACCTGCAATGTTCAAGCAAATGACACAAATATTGATCATCCTACATTTAACAGTTACAATGAATTAAAATTAAGGTAACATATATTAAGGATACACTATGAACTTTGTAATTTACTCACCTTATTTTTTAATGTACCTATTAATTATATAAAATCAAGATACATTAAAACAACTTTTTCCTACTGAAATTTCTACCATAATTTTGAGTCCATTAAGTAGCATAAAACCAATTGCCATCTCAAAAAAAAAATTTTCTGGAACTCTGCCCATCAAAATAAAACTGAATCAGGGAAATTAAAATATACATTCACTGACTATATATTTCCTAATATCATTTTTTAACCTAAATACTTTCTAACTCTAAAATATTATACTATAAATTTGGATTTCTAAAATACCAAATATTTTCTGCAAAATAATCAAAATTTAAAAATTGGTTAGTATTGTATAACAGATCAGAAATCATCACATGTACCAAATATATAAAATGTTCAAAACAAGTCAAAATGTTTTTAATGTTTGAGTAAGTGCTTGCTCCTTTATTTAAGCCTTTGAACTAAAAATTCAGAAAAAAATTAACAATATTAATGATACAGAAAGATGGCGCTTTTGCTAATTAGCATCAAAAGAAAATAGTCAATAACTAAGTATATACTGAGGTTCTCTGTGTACAACTGCCATCTCTGAAAAAGCCTGCTACAAAAATACATTTTCAGCATATATAGTATGTGATAGTGCATGAATTCTATTAGTGACTGCTGTAAATATTATGAATGTAGCAGTAACCTATCCATAAGAGAATGAAAATAAAATGAGACTTTCAGTTTTGAATACATTAAAAGAAAATACAAATGAAACTAAATATGCATATGTTTCTCATTTAAACCTCTTGCTGAACAATAACTCCATAATGGAAAATTAGAATTCTTTTCTCATAACTCTATCTTCTAATTTATTTCTCATTGGTAGCCAAATAAATACAGGCCATCACAAATATAAGAGTATATTACTAGTAAGATACGCAGAAAACCTTCAATTACCAAGAGTTTTCATTAGCTGCTCTAAAACTTGCGTGGAAAGCTATCTGAGAGATGGGAGTGTTTGAGAGATTAAAATATTTCAATAATATTGGATTTTATTAAACCCTTTCTACTATCACTCATATTCCAGCATATGATTCTGACACTACACTTGCAACTGTTTTTATTCAAATGGGTTTCCTCAGAGAGGAGAGGGACACACTGGTTTATAAGGTTAATCATGATAAACTGCTTTTAATAAAATACTTTAAACATATAATTTAACCATCACAGTGAATGGACAGAGCATTTTAAAGCCCCAATTGTTCAGAAACTAACTTAAAACAGAAACCACTCTTTTTTTGTTATTATTTCCCTGTATTCCCCACAAAATGTGCTGCAACTGGCATCTAAATAGTTTCTTTGCATGGTGAACTGAAACATCTTGAATGCTCAAACTGTATTTTTATGAGTGCCTAGGGACCCTAAATTTTAGTGGTCTATTAAATGCCAGCAATTTCATGCTGCCTTGCATAAAACAGCATTCACATATTAGAGCACAGAAGTTCCATAGCTACATTATACTTCTGGTCCAACTTTCTCTCAAACAAAAAATTGAAGCAGAGGCTAATCAAAATAATATTTTAAAAAAATAATCCTTTCCAGTCTTTTCCATTTAGTTTATATAGTATCTGTTGATAATTGTATAGCATTTGATTTCTTTAAAACGTTTTAAAATTTTATAAGCAACTATATTGTTTATCCTCGAAAAATCTGTAGTAGTCAAAAATAGTAGGTAAGTAGAGAAGTATTCATATATGAACTTTATTCTCACACCCATAGACAATGTCTTTATGGTAGATGCTGATGAAAATTAACCTTCCTAAGATAAATTTACTGATTACGTATGTTTTCATGTAGAAGCAGCCCCCAAATTTATTTTACACATTTCTGCCTATGTCTCTTACTGTAAAATCTGCACAATTTTCTGTTATACTTTTAGTCTCTTACCTGGCAATGTTATCCTTCTCAAAAAGAAATCCAGTCCTACAGTTTGTTTGTACTGTTTCCCAAAAGTTTCTTGAGCAAAATATGTAGCTAAGGAGGTCTAAAAAAATGATGCACATAATATCAAAATTAATGTCTTTGTTTTAGAAATGTAACATCACATCATTACTAAATCTTATTAAGTAATCTTAATATCCATACTCCCATTAACCCAACAAACAACCTTAAGCAAGCAGTTCTAATCAGTTACAAGAGGAGGAGGGACTTAACACTCCACCAGGTAAACTTCACTTGCCAACAGCCTGTCAGTGGCGACAACAGACTAATCAGTTAGATCTCTTTAAATCCCTGATTGTCAAGCTCCTTCTCCTTGTTAGAAATTAGAATTTGAAATTTATCAACAGGGAAAAACTAAAGCATCAAGATAAAAAATTTGAATCTTATATATCCATATATCAGTTCAATTCAGATTTCAGAAAATTTCTGAGATTAAATATTTTGAGTAGTTTGTGCCCTAAACCAATAATAAAAGATGATTAAGAAGGGGAAAGCCTGTTTATTGAGTTTCTTTTCTTCCCCCTCCCGGGAAAGTATCATTAAATATCAAATTTTTCTCTTTAATTTTTCTATTAAAGCTGTTAAATAAAAATAATTCTATAGAATGACTGATAATATATAGCTTTTAAATAAAAGAGTTGATCTTCTTAAAATTAACATTAAGCAGTCAAAAATAAATATTTTCCACCCATGAACCTTAAAAGTCATAAGCATATTATAACCAGAACAGATATATACAGTATCTACTTTTTTTTTTTTTTTAACTCAAAGTTGTACTCAAAACTCTAGGGCTCTCTTTTAGAGTACCATTTCTTATCAAAGCAAAAGAAGAATTAATCATCCTGGTAACAAATGAAGTAAGTCAACTCACAAGCTTCCTGAACATCTTAAATGCAGTATTTATTTGTAAACTTCTCCTAATAAAAGAAAAAGGCAGCTTCCTGAAGCTCTTATGCTCTTCAAGACAGACTCCCAAAGTTAAGGAAAAATAGCACTTTTATTTTAAAAGTTAAAATTAGATGTCAACTCCTAAAATACTTAAAATTAAGATACAATTTCCTAGATAGCTCATTGTAATTAATTATGACATAAGAACAGAAGTGCAAAAGAAAACCCAACCCAATTTTAATTCCTTTAAACAAAAAGACCTAAAATTCCTTTTGACACAAGAGACATATTTTTCACACAAATGGCAACCTGCATGCCCTAACTCCAATTCTTTTATAATACTCAGCATTTGTAATAAATTTCTAAGACACCTGGTCAAATATTTATTGAGCACTACAAGAAAGATGTTCTGCTCGACAATGAGAAATAAACTCACTGCACCAAAATGAAAATTTATTTGGCTTCCTTGAAGCATATAACAATACTATAAAAACCGAGCTATCAGAATTAAAAAGGTAAATACTACTTTCAAACCGTTTTTTCATTTAGACTTATTTATGCCATTGAACTTGTTTAACTCAGAACACAAAATCATCTGTGAAGAGGCTGAGTTCTAGAGAAAAATAACTATCATCACTACTACTATAGCTATTTCAAAATGTTTAATACATGGATGGCTGAAATAGTATTTTAAGTCAAAGAGAAAGAGCATATGTAACATCAGCATAATGTCATTTAAGGTAATTTTTCACTTTCTTTTAAAATTCTCAAAGTTCAATATTTTTATATTAATGAATACTCAGAACAATTCTAAGGCTATTTTCTTGGAAACGTCTACCTTCACACTTTTTAGGCGAACATAAAGTTAGGGTTTGAAGTGAAATGAAGTATAATCTGTCAAAAGTATAGTTCAATGGGAAGACAAAATATTACTCTATGTAATTACTATAAAAATTAAACAGGATCCACCGAATCAGTGGGAGGCACTTCCTCTTCAATTACATAGTCTTGGTGCTATTTCTCACAGCCCACAGCCAATAGTTTCTCACAAGTCATGGTATAAATATCCATCTTAAGCACTTATAAAGTGAGCAAGCATCCACCATATCTGAAACATTTTATCTGATTCTGTGGGCTGATTTTTGTTTGTTTGTTTGTTTTTGGTAAACTATTTGCTAACAATTTTTAAACATACTACACTTACTAATACTGAAAAGACATCATAAAGAATATTTTGCCTTAAAAAAATCTTTAAAAATATGCGATAAAATAAAAATAAAAAATGAGTCAAAACAAGAAAGAAGTAAAAACATGTGTTACTAGGGGGAGGAGCTAAATTTCTCTTGGTGAAATTGCTGGTGGTCATCTCAATCATCTATTGCTTCTGTCAGGATGTATCAAAATGCCCTGAGTTAGATCTAGCAGGACAAACTAATACTAGGAAAAATGGCCATGAGTTAAATCAGGATACAAATTAGAATGAAAAGAGAGGCTGAATTCGTAAAAGGAAAGGAAAAGAAACACAATGGCACCGTTGGTTGCTGCCAATAATTTGAGAGGTGAATAGGGTACGGAGAAAACAGTCTGACGCACGAATCATGATAAAAGGTTAGGCTTCTGATGCTTGTATCTGAAAACTTCTGGCCGAAAAAGTCTTTACAGTTTAAAAAGAGGTGAGTCAAGATAACGGAAACTAAGTAAAGCATCATAAAGAATATGTTATCCCCTGAAGCAGAATGACAGTCCTTCAACAACACAGAAGGGGAGAGATTATGTTTTGTCCTACACTGCGTTTTAGACAGAGATGAAAAGCCGTAACCATTCACACTAAATTAACGAGCACACATGTATGATAGGCTAAACAAAAAACCTACATACAGAGTTATGAACAAATTTCAACTGCGTACACGTATGATAACATAAATACTGGGGGAAATAAAAGTTTAAGGAATTACAGGATAATGGGCACCTTTTTGTCTTTTTACAAGTGTATTATTAGTGTTATAGATTGCAGTTATAACGTTAAACAGGAAATATATTATTATTTGACTATAAACATTTTAGAAAATGAAAAATTACAAGGCATTCAAAAGAAAATATGAATGATGGGAAAACTAAAAATGTAGCCTAAATTTTTACTGAATAAGGGTGTTAGAAACAATGCTGATGGGTTTAAAGCAGTTCATACATTCAAAAAGTTGTTTTAAGCGTCAGAAACTTCATGTAACGAACACTTTATAAAGAAAAGTGACCCCTAGTTGTTCTCTTCCCCGAGATGCTTCAGGGTAATCAGAGCACATTAAGCTGCTTTTCCTCAGCAATAAAAATCTGTAACAAAATATCAGAATTCTCCGATTTCTGCACATGAATGACACGTTTCCCAAGGGCCCTAGGAACTCAAAAATCTCAGAACCAAAGACAGGGGCCGCTGTGCTGAGCCCACCGCGGGAAAAGAGGCCCAGGGCAACCGTCTCCAAGGAAACCGGGGCCAAACCACGCGGGGAGCGCGGAGCTGCGGGGCCGAAAACGGGGAACGGGAAACAGGCTCCGGCTGGGGAAGGGCGAGGGGAAGCAGGAGACAAACTTTAGCGGGGTTCCCAGAACCGGGGCGGCGCCTTCGGCAGGAGCGACAGGTGGGAAGGCGTCGGGCAGAGGCCCTTCGCTGAATGAACATGGAGGCTGGGTCACGGGCCCCTCGGGGGCAGGCCCCGCGCGCCGGGCTCGGGGACTGGGTCACGGGCCCCGCACGCCGGGCTCGGGGACTGGGTCACCGACCCCTCGGGGACAGGCCCCGCACGCCGGGCTCGGGGGCTGGGTCAGGCCCCTCGC